GGGGGGGGGGGGTACATAACAATTCATTTTTCATAATTATGAGGACAGAACAGATGATGATGAGAGATGCAAAAATAAAACATTATTCACAATGCTAGATGTTAACATAGCACAGTATTTCTGGCAATAAAACGCTCCAACTGACCATTTCACACGAACTTTTATCGCTGGATAATTTTGCGATTTTTCATCCAATTCATTCATATATATGCTCAAAATCTTCCCGGTAAGTTTCTCTTTGCCATAAAATTTGACCGAATAGGTTTCGAAACAATGCGATGGCAAAAAATGCAAAAATCCTGATTTTCGTAATAGAATCCATAGTCTTTTTGCCCTGCTGTACCGCCATCTTGGATTTATCATGTAGGCCCCGCCTGCGCTAGGTATGCGTTAGCAATCTAGATCTCCTATATCTATGCATTGGACGATACTTCCAGTCCCTTTCTATTGTTTTTTTTCTGCGCGGTCAACACGAAGCTGGCAAGAAGTGTGTCGAAATTTCGTATTTTGACATCGACTTAATTTAAAAACTACCATCACAATTTAATTTTATAAACTGATAGCTTGTTTAGAGATACGGTTCGTTAGAAATGAATTGCAATTAACTGGGGAGTGGGGAAAATGGATTTAAAACAGCTTTCCACCTTCATAGTTATTTCCGTGATTTTAGCTTCACTTTTCTGAAGTTTGTGCTCACCATAAATTAAGCTCTCTGCGTTTAAGTTTACTTCACGCGATGAACGTGCGTTTTAGTCTATTGGACATTGCGGAACGAATTTTAGGTGTAACTTAACCAAATTTTGAGTGAAAAAAGCCAGGAAAATGATGATTTTTCGAAAATTTCCATTTGATGTGTGTTCTGTTTAAACATTCTCAGTATTGGCTGACTGAGTAAATATGTAGGTACCTTCATAAAAAAAAATCAAAATATGTTTATAGTTTACCTCAACGTTTGTCAGATATCGCATGCAATTCGAATCTTCATAGGCATGGTAAAAATAACGTGTGCGGACAATATCTCTTCTTTAATAGTGGTTTTTCTGATATGCCCTGACTCTTGGATTTATCACTGATAATTCACAAAGTTGTCAAAGAAAACGTCATATCAGAAAAACCATTAAAGAAGAGAAATTTTCCGCACACATTTTTTTTACCGTACCTGTGAAGATTCAAATCGATATATGCATGTAGACAAACGTTGAGGTAAACTACAAACATATTTTGATTTTTTTATGGGATACCTATATATTTCTTTAGTTAGCCAATACTGGGCATGTTTAAACAGAACACCCATTAAATGAAGATTTTCGAAATCAACATTTTATTGGCTTTCTTCACAAACATTTGGTAAAGTTACACCTAAAATTCGTTGCGCCATGTTAAATTGACTAAAACGCACGTTCATCATGTGAAGGATCTTAATTTAACTCAGTAAAATCTTCTCACTAGCAAATTTTCAAATTATTCCAACGAAAATATCTTTCACATTTTACAGATAGTGCAACGCATTATGGGAAACATTTTGTCTTTGGATTTACAGCACAAATTCAACAGGTGCTTTACAGCGGATACAACGAAATATTGATCTCGGCACCATTCGACACATATGTTAATATCACTTTACACAAGTCTAGAAATCCACTTCTGAAGGACAAATACATAAAAGCTGGAAACGTTTTGAATTACAAGGTATCACCATGGATCAGAATGCATTCAACAGTGGTCGATACTCTGGGCATATCAGTGACCGCAAGCGCAGATGTGGCAGTGTTCTGTATAAACTACAGACTTTATACTTCAGATAGTTATCTTGCATTACCTACAAACGCCCTCGGCAGAAAGTATGTTGTGGCATCCTACGCCAAATCAAATGTGGGAATCATCTCACCACAAGACGATACAATCGTGCGCATTATACTCAACACAAAGGGAACTGTACGATACAATGGTAGATCGTACACTAAGGGACAAATAATTAACGTAAAATTGAATAAGTTGGGAACATTTCACTTGGATCACCCATCAGATCTATCTGGAACAATCGTTGAAGCAAATAAACCAATAGCAGTCCTATCAGGTGATAAATGTGCAAAAATAAAAACTCGCTATTGTGATCATCTGGTTGAATTCTTACTTCCTGCACGTAACTGGGGCACAAAATTCTTAGTCGCTACAACAGGAATTATGGACAAGAATGAGGGAGATTTTTTTCGTGTGTTTTCCTATGAGAATGATACCCGCGTTCGTAGCAAACACGGAGATCGAGTTTTGAAATCCGGAGATTTTACGGAATTTGACTTACGCAAGGAGTTGTCTTCATTCTTCGAATGTAGTAAGCCATGCCAAGTTGTTCAATACACTAAAGGATATTCAAACAGAAGGGGTAAAGAGGTTGATTCATCCATGTTATTTGTACCGTCTATCAGTCATTTTCTGAATGGGTATCATGTATTTTTACTTGGAATTAAAAAGAATTCGTATCAACATTCGACAACTATCCTTATAAAAGCATCGGAAAAGGACGGTCTTTTGGTGAATGGCAAAAACGCAACTGGCTTCGTATGGAAAAACATAGAAGGAACCCAATATTCGTGGACAATTATTCAAATATCAAGCGAAACTGCAATCACTCACAGTTCCCGAAATGCATTGTTCGGTGCTTTGGTGTTTGGTGAAGCCGATTTTCATTCCCATGGTTACCCTGGTGGACTTAATTTCCTCTTCAACGCATCTGGTATGTATGTTAAATAAATCAGCGTACTATTCTGATGGTGCAGCCATATATGAGGTGTGATATCCGCCAAATTCATATATTCAATTAAGCCATTAGAAATTGCATTTATGAAGTTCAGTTATGCATGCAATTATGATATTCGATATTGTGTTATTCGAATTTCATTCGGCGTGAAACAGTCATTATTGAAACTTCATTCGGCGTGAAACAGTCATTATTGAAATAGTCATTCGGCATGACACTCAGAAACCAAAATTCGACATCCGATTTAGCGGGAAAAGCACGCGGGAAACTGTTATTCCAACATAAGCGAAAGCAATTTAAGTCAACAACGTGCTGTTTCTTTGTTGCAAGAGGCGACATGATTAATAAGAGGATATCCTGGATCATCAAATGATGTTTCTTCAGCAAATGTTGCGGAGTCCAAATGTAATTTCTCAAAGCGAATCGCATGCTACTACATCACCTGGCGTCACTGCCGTCAGGCCCGTCAATACATCAAATCGAAAAAGAGTGTTGGGGAATTTTAGAAATCTTTTTGCGCCGTATGGGCGTACTTGTCGCCAAAGCCTAAGTTCCTCAACCCAGTTAGCCCAACCACCGAATAAGCGAAGGAAGAATTTTGTTTCCAATATGTCTACAACACTTATATTTCTGTGTTGTTGACTTAATTAAATTGCATTCGCCTTCGGCCATGTTGGAATTACAATTTCCCGCATGCTTTTCCCGCTAAACCGGAAGTCGAATTTTGGTTTCTGAGTGCCATGCCGAATGACTACTTCAATAATGACTGTTTCACGCCGAACGAAATTTCAATGATGACTATTTCACGCCGAATGAAATTTCATTAATGACTGTTTCACGCCGAATGAAATTTCAGTAATGACTGTTTCACGCCGAATGAAATTCGAATAACATAATATCGAATATCATAATGGCATGCATAACTGAACTTCATAAATGCAATTTGCAATATTAATAGCATAATTGATATATGAATTTTGGCGGATATCGCATCTCATAGCCGTACAGTGGGGTAGCCAGCCCGACGATGCAGTCCCGCTATGCACATATTGCCATGTTTATAATCTATAAACACAACCAATTTCTAAAAAAATGAATGATGGTAATGAGTTGAAATTTGTATAGCGGGACCAAATCGCGGTGCTGACTACCCCACCGCAGCTGTATAAGCAATTTCACAAATTTCATGGGACTGAGGTTCAAGTAAATGATACGCGAAGTAATCATATGCCACAAAAATGGGCGAATGTAATTCCACCTAAACTAATCAGTTGGATGTTGTTACAGTTACCGTTTCGATTAGCATTGCTATGGCGCGAATGTACATGCCCTTATATAATTTATTTTATCGTTGCAACGACTGTGATATTACTTTCGTAACTGTGTTTATCCCAAACTACCCTGTTAACAATATTTCTTGTAATAGGAGACCGGAAAACCCGGAGAAAATCTACATGTACTACTTTTGCCAGAGCTGTGGCTGGCTCTTTTCACATGAATCCATAGTGAGAATTAAAGCCAAAGTAGAAATAAGCTCTTGCCCTGACGACTACCACACCAAATCCATGTGATTAAATTATCCGGTTGTGAACCGAATAATTAAATAAGTAAACAAAGTATATTAGAAATAAACTCTTGCCCTGACGACTACCACACCAAATCCTTGTTATTAAATTATCCGGTTGTGAACCGAATAATTTATTTCCAGATAGAAGCAATATCTTGATCCAAAGATCAACCGTGCGTAAATTAGTGAAATATTTAGTTTCACAAAGAATATGCTTGAATTCTTTCCTTAAGAAGTACTGATCCTTTAAATTAACACCGCAATAAGGTAATCCTGTCGATCAGCACGGAAACATGAAACGACCGCCTCATAAATGACCAAGCGAGATTTTGGTCTTTAAACCCAAAAGCAGCTGATAGACAAATTGCAAACATGAAAAGCAAGACCATATAGTTGGACGAAATATACAAATAACAAATATCTACACTCGTTTTTATCCTATTAGAATAAAGTAGAAATTATTTTCAGAATTCCATGCATCATATCCGACAAATGATTATCTTTCTTGAGGCTTAAAACCTCAAATTCGGACCATTTTCTGATCATATAAATAACTGATCACGAATTACAGCAAGTAAATAATACAAGTGCTGTGATTTACACTTTTTTGAGAAGTTCAGATTTCACTTCTACTACGGATCTGACTGGTCAATCCGATATATTAAACGCATCTGATTGGTTAATGGTCCTTTTATGGTAGCGGTAGTGGAAGTCAAATCATAACCTCTATAGTTTTCGCTGCATTATGATTAAATGTTTAAATTATATAATACAAATCAATACAAATTACTTCGGATTTTCTTTCCCAGTAACAGCGTCATGGTCTCAGTGGGAAGAATGGTCTGACTGCTCAGTTTTGTGTAACGGTGGAATCCAAACTCGAAGAAGGACATGTATTTCAACAAATTCCATACAGGATGATAACACGCAATGTCTTGGAAAGCCAGACGAATCTCGAGCATGCGCAACATGGAAATGCGCTGGTGAGAAATATAGCTAATGTAATCAAGAGCAGCATTTCCCTAGTCTCGAAGATATTGTTCTTGATGACAAAGCAGTAGCCTAGTCAGCCCGACGATTTAGTCCCGATATGCAAATATTTTCTTATTCATTGACTGGGAGAACAATAAATTTTTATAGTGTCGAGTTGTCGAGTGCAATTTGAATATAACATGCACGAGTGAGTTTTTAAAGGATCACAAAATAGCACGAGTCTGAAGGACGAGTGCTATTTGAGGTCTTTGAAAAATTCACGAGTGCATGTACATTCAACTTTCACGAGAAACCATGCTATTACTTACTAATACTTTAAATAAAAATGTTCGAGACAATTGTAGTTTTAACTTACGCGTTTATAGCGAATATTCCACTGGCAAAGTTTTCCTGGCTTTGTTATATCACATTATACAACGCTAACAGCTTGAAAATTCCTCTCAACTATGTAATTTTTGTTAGTCTTGTTTAAGGTAAATGCTTGTCCATTTAAAAATAAAGATAAAAGCCATATTTTCCACGCGATTGTGACGCGAAGGCAATTTTTACTTTGTGTAGCGCAGCACCATGTTTGTTTTGCTTTGAAGCAATCTGTAATAGTCATTTCTTTAAATTGGTCGATTTAATCATCACAATGTTTTTCCACCAATCAGATCAGTTTGTTACAGATTTTTGCACTGTGATTACCGAAAATTGCACTGTGATTACAAAAAATTGGACTTGATTACAGAAAATTGGACTGTGATTACAGAAAATTACACTGTGATTACAGATTAATTGCACTGCTGTTTGGGATTAACTGCACTGAATCAACCAATCAAAGTCAAGTAATATCATTATGTATATTATTAGAAATAAATATTGATACTAATTCTGAATTTGCATAGCCGGACTAAATTGTCGGGATGGCTACGCCGCTGGTCATAAGTCGAGTATTCTTCCAAGTTCCACGTCGAATTATGCATTGTGTAATTAACCTCATTTTTGAAAGGGTTACAAAGTCATTGTCTCAAAAAGATTGTAACAAAAGGATTGCTATTGAACATGGCACTTGGCACCGTTGAACTTAAGCTTCCTCTCTTCAGTAGAGATCGTGTTTCATTTTCCCTATGAAATAAATACATTAAAACTGCATGTTTAACGTTCCAACGCAGCTAAAAGAACTAACGTTTGAATATCACATGGCATTTCTTTTCATGTATAGTAACTTGTACGAACGTTTCATCCATTAAAAACGGTCAGATTAGTGTTGACGGAACGCTGGAAGGAGATATAATCAGCTTCACCTGCGAACAAAACTACGTGTTGGTAGGAGAGAAACGCCTAAGGTGTATGAGCAGTGGAAAATGGAATGCTTCAGAACCAAAGTGCGAAGGTATACAACCTCTCAAATAGAATCCATAATTTAAATGTATTTGACCTGCTGCATGGATAACATAAATCTTAAATTAGTTTGCTAGAATATGGAGTATTGTGTAAATTGGTTACGCTACAGTACCTAAAGAGATGTTCCTATTTTCCTTGATAACAAGTATACACTATATACTAGATTTATGGGTGTTAATATTGATGAAAATCTAAATTGGGAATCTCATATTGGTACGTAAAAATATTGTATTCATCCTGTTTCTTTTTAACAGTTAAACCCAAATTATCGTTATATTACTCATTCATCTATATCCTGTAACGTTCCACGGTTATCTCCTTCGTTACAAATTTAAATATTTCCTATTCCATACAGCTCCTTTCTTTGCTAGCTTGAATGTACTTGACATCTTTAAACTCATTTACATAGCTAAGTTTATATCTAACAATCATAATAAATTATCGATCGTCTTGGTTCTTTCAAAATGTTTTTGTAACAAACAGTCAATTGCATAATTATAATGCCATGTCAACAACTAAAATATATACAGGTAGAATGAACATCAACAATTGTCGATTTCCTTTTCCAGTAGTATACAGTAACAAGTGCTAGCAGTTTCTCTTGTCTTGAAAAGATTATGAGGGGACGTCTTTATAACAAGCCTTGAATTTATACTAAATATGTTTGAAATTCGCATCTTGTATATTTGTAAATAGTTATTTTCTGAATATGTATTTTGTGGCAAACGTTTAAAAAAAGGCTCATTAAATATGAAATATTAATTGTTATTTTTTCGCAGAAAAGTGTTCCGATCCGTCAAAAAGTACAAATGCAAGAGTGATAGGAAATGAGTTCTACCATGGCAAGGAAGTGAAGTTCGTTTGCCCCGAAGATAATATTCTAATTCCAGGATCATCGAAGAAGTTGACGTGTGAAAACGGAAAGTGGAATGGATCATTACCGTCATGTAAAGGTAATAACAATATTATGAGCGGAAATGAAGTTTGAAAATCCCACAAGATTCCTGTGGAACACGTACATGAAAAGTTATAGAATACGCGCAAAATGGCCCAAATTAAATACCTTTCATTACCAGCTGTCCAGTAATCTTAAATTATAACTCTTTTCATACTAATTACACACATAAACTTTCACTATAGATATATTGTACGGTATTACTACTTAGAATTAGTCTTGCCATCCATGCCTACAAAATCTACTCTGTCTTTTGATGTGAGCAGAATGCGCACTCGAAAACCTGATTGTTCCAAATACCATTCTTATAATATACTAGAAATATATGCATGCATGCATGCAGTAAC